ACTATCTAGACGGTAAATAGTTCTGCACAAAAGCCAACAGAGTTTGCTCGACTTGGAGGACATCATCATTTGGTTTATCATGAGAAGCGATTCTGGGTCAACTGCTTTTCCTTCTTTTTGTGAACGACCTCCCACTGAATCTCAGCCTCCCAATCCCCATTTAGGCTGATGATGTTAAGCTATAGAGAGCTGTGACGTCAGAAACAGAATCAAGTGCACTGCAAAGTGACCCCAGATTACTTGCAGAGTGGGTGGATAGTAATGAACTTGCATTTAACCTAGATAAGTGCCGAGCCATGTTTTTCCGCACCCCAGACCCTCAGAAGGTACCCTGTTCTCTCTGTGGAACACAACTGTGTCATACCACCACGGAGGAAAACCCAGGACTAATACTGACTGACAAACTAGACACCAGCTCCAATCATCCAGGAGATGCCTCCAGAGCCCTCGCAGTACTGAACTTCGTGCGCAAACAACTTGGTGCCCTGACCCCGGGAACTCTTTGAAGCTGTATAAGACCTATATACGACCCCACCTAGAGGTACACAACGCCATTGCTTCACCATATCTGAAAAGAGACGTGAACCTCCCAGAGAAAGTGCAAAGGCGAGCTACAAAGGGTGTCCTGTGAATGGGGCGAAAGTCATATCAGGACAGGCTGAAAGAACTAGTACTCTACTCCCTAAGCTACCGCAGATTACGTGGTGACTTGATAACGGCTTACAAAATACTGAGTAACCCAAGTCATCCGAACAACGGAATCCAACTGAACGGCCACTATGGCGATCCTCGAGTCAATCCAAGGAGAATCATCCACCAAAGAGGAAAAACCCGTGTGCAATCACACTTCTCTCTGAGAGTTTGCAGCCACCGGAATGCATTGCCTGCTGAGATTGCTACTGCTTCATTTGTCGACAGCTTCAAGAAGGGGTTGGACAGTTACGCAGCGACGCATGGTTTGCCCTCATCCAACTGAGATGTGGACTAGGCTGACACTACCTATTAACTTGGTACGGCCAACCGTCACTGAACACTTTGTAGAACCACTATCAGTTGGAACTTGGCTCAACCTTATACCTTCCTATAGACGTCCCCTCCAGTTACCGTCTCTTACTTAAAGAATTACTATATTCCCATTCGTCCTATCATGTTATTTATTCTTCTTCCTTCTGACTCTACGCTCTCAAACTTTAACAAAAGCTCTCCCTATCACCACTTCCCATAAACCTACCAATGTTTGTTCTTACGTGCCATCTCCTTTTTCCCGATCTTCTTTTTTTCTTTTCTTTTTTTATTTGTTTCCCTCTGCACTTTCTCTTCCTTGGTTTCTCTCCAGATGTTTTTCATCTTCTTTTTTACAACCAGTCAGACCAATTTTCTGCTGGCACGACACTTGTGGAATCCATCTGCACCACATTCCTCGGAAGAAAAAACAAGCAAACAACACTCCCTACAAATTTAACCAACACTCAACCGCCCGTCGGGCTAACCAGGGCTGCAGCAGTCGAGTGGGTAGACCTACTGCATTGGAATCCACCAAAGACCTAGAACTGTTCTGCAAGACCTACAAGTGAGCGTGAAGAAATCAATTGGTTTACACTAGCTCGTAAAAAGATATTGGATATTGGAACGTGATTTCTGTCATTTGCTCTGAATCGGTTATTCTGTGTACTGTGATACCTAGTGTTATCTAAAAAAATAGTAGTACATAGGTATATTATATTTGGTTAGCGAATTCGTTTAGCTTTCCGTGTTGAATAAACTCTCGTTGACGTAACAGAGAAAAAACCGAAATCCATGCCTTAACTGTGGGGAGAAATAAAGCTAAGCACTCGAAAACAGGCTGTCTTAGTAATAATTTAAAACGAGTACTTCAGGATCCGCCTCTAAATGCAATTAAATAGATGCCTCAGTCTGTGGTTTAGATGCAGGAGAGATTATTTTCCACACACCGATCATCAGAGCCTCAGACATTGTCTCCGGAATGGATGCAAGACCCGAGAAAAACCAAAATGGCATTGCCCATATTAGGATTATCTTAGATGATGTTCAAGGGAGGCTGGAGAAATTCTTCTCGTTGGTTTGTTTGTTTGGTCAAACTGATAGAAGGTCAACAGCTTAGTGGATTTCATTGCTACTGAGTTAATAAAGCGATTATCGTCATCTCAGCAAGCCATAGTGTACAATGTACCTGACGACGTGCACTTAGAAACAGCTAAGGATACGATCATACAGGCTTGCGGTATGATAAATATACCCTGTGAGTGTAAATGTTTAGGCAAGAAACTTTTACAAGGCGGTTGCCCCATGATCTTCAAGTTTCTAACGCCATTTGACGCTAAAAAACTTATTAAGCTGCAGAACACCACTAGAGCTAACTGTAATTTCGAAAAACTTACTATTATGCAGAACAGAACACCATGTCAACGTGGAAAGCACTTTAAGAATGGTTTAGCCTTTTCTTCTACAATTTTAGAGGCACCTGAAAGCCTAGAAGAAACAGATGGCGGCAAGAAAGTATGAAGTTATTCTCCGGCATCGCCTGAGAAACAGGCACTTGTGGATCTTGATGCGACTCCTCCATTAAACTTGCCAGTTACTGAGAATCCTACTCTTGAGACTAATCACTCTGGTCAAAGTATAGCGAGCATCCCATCAAAGGATTGACTTAGGACCAGAAAGCCCTCAGGAAAAAACTCAGGGACTTAAACCCAATAGTAACACTAGACAGAGCAATTTTAAGCATATTTGGCCGATTAACGGTGAAGAATATTTCGTTGTCAAAAGGGCCTCAACACGAATACGCACTACCAAGCAACATAAACCATTGCCTTGGAATAAAAAGCCCTTAACTATTTCCATGTTCACAACTAGGATTCTCATGGCGGGTATTTTGCTGTCATTTATTGCTTCGGTGAACCGCAGTATGCCACCATCCAGCATTAGAACTAATCTTGTGGAGTCTAATCATCCCTACCAGAACAAGAGACCAGGGTGCAACCCATATGATCATGACCCTAAGACTAGGTGCATCACCCCACCTGTCAATTACGTTAACATACCTGAACCTCGTGGTTTTTTGGAGTCACCAAACGTTATGTACGACGTTTGGCATGGTTTCGCATAATATACTATTGGAAAAGTTAAGCGCATTAGGTATTAGCAACCCTTTGCTAAGCTGGCTAAAATCATTTCTCAGTGATCGCACCTATATGACGAAAATCAATTCAGCTCTGTCTACTCCAAGATACATCATAAGTGAAGTTGTGCAAGGTAGCGTTCTCAGGCCTCTTTTGTTTATTATCTACATTAGCAGTGTTTGCAACTGCCTTACCACAGGCGACGCCTTTCTGTATACCGGCTACCTGAAAGTCGTTTACTCTTGTTATAGTCATGAGCTAGGTGACACCACGACTGGTATTCGACATGAACTAGAAAAGCTTTCTTCTTGGTGTGCTGATGCCCTTCTACAGTTCAACATCAACAAATGCGGATGGATTTGCATTGGTAACAGTAGCCTTGACTTGATATTTAAAGTATCTGGACAACAGTTACCAAAACTTAGTTCTGTCTCAGACCTAGGGTTCAGATATTCCAGTGACTTGAATTTCTCTGATCAGGCAGCGTACAGGGAAACTAAGTGACGCGGACTCCTAAGATGCATCACTCGTAACTTTTATAGTACTGAATTAAGGGTCCTACTCTACAAAGTATGCATCCGTCCAATTATAGAAAACTGTTCATTTGTCTTAAGCAGCTTTCGAATAGACGACAAAATAAAAATTGGAGGGGTACAACGCCACTTTACATTAAGAGCACTAGGAGCTGACTGCAACCTTGACTACATCTCCAGATGCAACATGCTAGGACTAGAACCACTCTGAAAGGGGCGACTTAGAATGAATCTTATAGTTTACTATAAATTACTCCGTAAGCAAGTGCACTCATGTGGTCCAGAAATGAAAATGGTTATAACATCTACTTGCAATATGGGTAGTCACAAACTGTTAGCTGAAACTGAGTGTTGTGAGAGCTATGTGCGAGGTAATCTCTTCCTTGATAAGTTCTATCACATCTGAAATAGACTTCCTGATGAGATACGTACTGCAGGTTCATTATGTCTTTCGTTCCTCACTTAATAATCCCCTCATAGATGATGGGTCTATCACTCGCTTGGTCACTATATATACTTTCTGGGCTGATGAAAACATACTAGGACCCCTAAACGTGTAACATGGAAGCGTGAAGGTTTTCGGGTTTACATATTCACATTTGGAGGCCGGTGCGCATACTCTACAAAAGTAGTGGTATTCAATCACTTGTATTAAAAGTCATAAGTATGTACACTTTTCATTGATCCCTACAGCTTAAAGTCATCTGAAACAAGTAAATAACCAAAATCTGTGTCGGGTGGCTATGATGGCAGTATATCTACTTTCTCTTTTCAACTCTCCACAAAATACACCAGCTGCTACAGGGATTTTATCAGTATCCGTGGACCACATCAAATAGAATGCTCATGATGACATGAGGTGTACAACAGACATTATTTTGATCTTTGTGAAACATGAAACCATCTAGAGTTGTGTATCACCTGATTTCAGTACTATTTATGGGATTCCCAAAGAAGTGCTTTTATCCAATATGGTCCTTTTGAGATGATACTTTAATACAGTAATGTGGATGAGTATTCTGTTCAACCGACCGGTTCAATCACAAGATAATAACCATTTTCATGCTGTATCAGTTTGGTGCTGAGACAGATCTATAAGTCAAATAATGCGACAACGTCATTATTCTATATAGAAGTTAAATAAGTCAGAATCCAAGTCCTTCATAGATAAAACCTTTCAGGTAAATGATAAAGTACCAGTCTTTGATTCTTCAGTAAATTCTTTTGCAATAACAGACCTCCTGAATAGATAGAATATGGCTATAAACATAGGGAGAGACAAGAAGTTGAGAAGTATATATATATATATATATATATTTTTTTTATTGAAACAAATTATGTAGTTTTTTACTTTTTTATACGTATAAATGTATGACGAAGTAAAAAATAAACGTAAACAGAAAATGCAAAGGGAGAAAATTAAGTGTTATAGACAAAAGCATACTCGGTCATCAACCGAGATCGTGCGTTGGTCCTGCTTCACAACTTAGTATGTAAATGGAATTATATGTATATAAGTCAATATAATTTCTATTCATGCTGAACTTATTCCATGAATGAGTTGCAGTGTCATTTGTAAGTAGTAAGTTAACTGTAGATATAAGTAGTATTTAGATTTACAATATCACTCTTATCCAATCACTGAGCTTATATAAGTAGAAATGAATCTATATGTACACAATATATACATGGAATAGTCTTTCTGAGAAAGTTAATAAATTAATCTTTTTTTGTAAAAAAAACTTCACAAAATGGCCTTTGTGATTGTTTCAATTTTCATTTCTTTGAATATTATTTCCTGCATGCAACTCAACAAAGAGATTTATTCAGGTAAAAAGTTTTTATAGGCAAATATATGATAATTGTGTAGGGTCTTATGGAAAAAAAGATTAACTATGATGAATTCATTGCATAATGCTTTGCAAGAAGACTAACAATAAAGAAAGAAGCACTTTGGTCATCTAACTAACGTCTGTTTTAATCGGTGTCGAAATGGTAGGGGTGGAAGAGTTTAGAAGGCAGTAAGGTGTTAGTATATGCTGTAACTGTCCGATATCAAAATTTGTGTTCTCACTGATCCACATATAGGTTATCTCATTTCTGCTGAAGTGAATTGGTAGCATTTTCAACACAAGCAAATTTCTATTCACAAATATCTAATTCCATCCTATTAGATACTTCTGGTGCCGACATTGTTTCTCCTTCTCTTTCTTCCACTATAGAAGGAGACTCATGGCTTTCTACTTCATTACTCTGTACTTTGTTCATTAGTGTAATCTCATTATTGTTTGCTAGCTGCTGGTGTTCATGTTGTGTGTCCTGTTTACTTTTATCTTCTATGGATTTTTGCACATAATTACTTTGGATATTTGGGGTCATATTCTCATCTTTGTTGGAAGATATTGAATCACCATCGTATCCAGTTAATGGACTTATTGATGGGGTTAGATGAGGTATGGACGAAAGAGTATTGTCTGAAATTGAAAGTAATAAATGACATATATAATTGTTTATCCATATTGTATCATACTACTATGTATTAAATAAATAGTTCATGTTTATTCACTTAAAAACGAAGAAAATTTTGCAGCATAATTTCAATGAAGTATTCCCTTACTAGTCACTTTACTGGAGTATCAGTCTGAAGTGGACGCCAAATTCAAATACTTATGGAGCTGGAAATAAAAATAAAATATTCACACAGTTTCTAATAATCTAGAGGTTATGGACCTTGAAACTGCCTCTATTTATCACAGAATATCGCTGCTTACATCTTGCATCCGCAAGATAACTGATTATAGAAAGTATTCTGTCTATCACAGATCATATTTCATACACATGTATTACTGCATAAAGTCGGGTCACTGGGGATTATATTCTCCACGATGATTATAACTGAGTTTAATTTCGATATTTACTCAATAGATGGAGGTGTAGACATCTTGGTGAATAAGTAACCTGTTAAATCAAGAATGATGAACTGCTCAAACAAGAAGCTGATTTTTCAGTAGAAGAAGACTAATTTACCTGTTGGAAAACAGTAAAATCGGGTGGAAAATTAACCATAACTGTTTGTTTACCTCATGCGCTTCCACTTTTTAAAAAATGCTTCTTGTCTAACTCATTCACTAGTATTACACTACTTTTCTTAACATTTTTACTTCATAATTACCTTGAATTCTACTAATGAGTACGAGTCAGTTCTGACTTGATCAAAATGTGATGAAATTAGGGTTTCTAATAGGTGAAAGATGACGAATGTGAATAAAATGCTAACTATTCACTTTCAGCACAAGAATATTGAATATGACAACAATGAGTAAACCTTCCAAAGATAGTTGCATCCAATTGGTTGGATTTGCAGTGTGCTCAAGAAGGGAAAATAGAGCTATGCTGCTGATGGGCCACTGGAGGCAATCGACAAAGATTCTAGAACCTAGAATTCCTACTTATCGGTACTTTTCATCAAAGTGTATCTGTAACCTTCAGGGAACTGATACTCCCTCTGAGATATAAACCAACAAGACCTAGTACTTCTATGGAAAACATTAACACTTGTTGGAAATAAGGAGATGCAGGTTGGTGGCTTTGAGTTAATCGCCTCCAGTTACCTAACATTATTCTAAGGGCATTATATTGATGAATCCCATAGCTGGGTGAACACACTGCAACACTATAGACAGGATTTTATTATCACTTAAGACTAGACAACCTGAAATTGGTTACTCTCCAGCGAACTGTCAATGTTATACTGTACTTGATGATGAATTACGGATAGTGACGTTATTAACTACGGTACAAAGTGATATCATTTCGGATCTATGGGAGAACATAGGTTTCCTCGAGCCTGTAGATACTCCTCAAAGAATATCAACAAACTGGAAACTTAAGTTTGTAGTTGTCTGTTCTTTGTATCCTGCTGTTGAACATTAATTACCTTTTCTGCTATAAATCATACATCCTGATGAGATGATTTTCGCTGAAGTTAGTGGTTCAACTCTACTTCCTTGAGAAACACCTTTTAAGTGATATTTTATGATGGTTTTTGAGTTAAAATATAGAAATTTAGTACCGATACAATACATCCAAATGTTTATCTACAATAACTTCATCGTTCTTAATTTACAACAAGTACCACTCACTAGTGTATTCAGAAGATCATTTATGTTTTGTAGATATCAAGTAGTGATAGCCGTAACATAAATAGGACAAAGAACTCATGAACAACTGTTTTGCATATTTCGTAAACCTATGCATCAACTATGTGCTTGGGACGGAACCAACTGTAATTCATTAGTATTCCAAGTAACAATTATGGAAAATCCTATCTGGCGGTTTGTGGAGATTTATTAATTGGTTTCAGGTTGGGATTCATCATGCACTGACATCAGTTGGAGGAACAGTGGAAACCTGGGAGCACTGAATAGCTGTTTTCTCCTAGTGTGGCACTCCTCAGCATTGCGCACTCATGACCCCGACAGGGATCGGACCCAGGAACTTCAGGTTTTGTGGTCAGCACTTTGCCATTGAGCCACTGGGTGGGAGTTCAGTGGTCCATATTTTCTACTTCTGTCAGTTCACGACATAGCGCTACCTACATCCAATGTGGTCGTTGAATAATTGTCCTCATGTTCGACTTGATTGACTCCATTGGTCACGGTTTCTCATTGGAACTTCAGGAATCGCCTCTCGAAGCTAGTTACCAATGATCGGCACAATAATTCTATCTGGAGATTTGTGGAGGTTTACTAATTGATTTTTGGTTGGGATTCATCATGGACTGACATCAGTTGGAGGAACAGTGGAAACTTGGATTCGATCCCTTGTGGAGTCGTGGGTGCGCACTGCTAAGGAGTCCGATACTAGGACGAAACAGCTGTCCAGTGCTCCCAGGTTTCCGATGTTCCTTCATCTGATGTCAGTGCATGGTGAATTCCAACCTAAAATCAATTATGGAAAGGATGGAAGAGGAATAAATCATTCGAAGCTCATAACAATATATCTACTAATCTAAAAGGTATGTTATTGGATTCGGACCCAGAGGTTGGACGACAACATGATCGTCATGAGACCTGACAGTCCTGGGTCGGATCACTGGTGGAACTCGTGAGGACACACGGCTGAGCACTTACATGCTAGGATGAAACATCTGTCCAGTGTTCCCAGGTTTCCGATAGTTCTCCGACTGATATCAGTATATGGTGAACACTATCTTGAAAGCAATCAATCCTAAAAGGCCTCCAAAGTTAAATCAGATTTTCCAAGCGGTATACATATAGTTCAGTAGTCTTTCATTTCAACTGTTTACAACTTTTACAGGCTTATACAAAGCATTCTTCTATTGTGATAGCAGAAGAAAAGAAAATGGGAATCTATGAAAAGGTATTTTCCGTGATATTTTACTCAAGAGTTATTTTACAGCACCATTATATTGCTCAACTTAGGAATTTTTTATTGACGTCTCACTCATTGTCATACGTTTCAGGGTCTCCTGATAACTGGATGTTAACGATAAGCAGTTATTTTGTAGAATTCTGTTTCCGATACATAAAATAAGCCATTTCACTTTTATGAGTTTTGGTGTATTGCAGACTTGTAGACAATGAACGACCAGTCTTTGTCTCTTACTGTACAGATGTTAGGCGGAGAGAAAAATTGTATGACTAACTCTTGGATGACACATTGATGTTATACACTGAGTCGATCGGGTGCGAAATTAGTGTTATAGGCGCATAAGAAAAACATAATCGAAGCATATCGTCTAAGTTACTGTATCTTCAAGTTCGGTAACAAAACCAGTGATGATTCTATATATAACTTAAATTGAGATGTATACATGCTACCTGCCAGCTCATATTAGAAGAGATAGGTAACTAGTTTGAACAGTTTTCCCTACTCTCTCTAACTTTAATACATAGGTTAGTAGAGTAGGAACACATGAAAGTACCGCATAACATTCTGTTGTTGTTATTATTACCACTGAAAGTTTTCTCATGTCATTTGAAAGCATTGAGTCAACAAACGATAACAGGATACAGGCTAGATATACCGCTTAAAAAGTGGTCAGTTTTCATTGACTGAAATGACTACTTCATTTTCTGCTCACACATACCAACTTCCTGTTTAAACGGTGATGAAAAATGGGAAAGAGGAATTAAAGTGAACTTTTCAAAGTGGTGCAAGTTACTGCATACCGACAATCTAATGTAATTTTAAACTATAAAGAAGAGTATAAAGATGTAAGAGTTGGTGATAGTAACAATCTTTGGTATACAAACAAAACAGAAGAAAGTTTTTTTCATCAGGTTTGAATATGCGGCAGAGGGTTAAGTAGTTGTGCACTTTAATGTCCTGAGATACTTATAAACTGTTTGTTTTACAACACGCAAACTCTTAAATAGATAGATCTGTCTAGGAACATTGATGGATTCGTAAGGTTAAAAGGGAAAAACAGAAAACTCAATATCACATAAGACATATTTATAAGAAAAGACAAATTTCATGTCTTTCCAAAGCCTGTTTAGTTTTTGCAGCCACAGATATTATCAAAATGTTATCCAAAGTAGATCTCCCCTTGAACTAACAGATTAACCTAAGTTGTCAGCCTAAATGAGTATGAAACTCGGGATTTGTGTTTCCTGACGACTAACCTTGAACACTCACTTTCAAATGTAATATACAAGGACACTGAGTTAAACTGTTCAAGCTCTTTTTAGTGTTGACGACCAACTCCCACCAGCTTTTTCAGTGGCTGGTTTGAACTTCTCTGAAGGAACCTTTATAAAACGAATTGATATAAGAGAAGCGGCAGATAACCAGTTCTTTAAAAAAATTCAACCAGGAAATGTTCATGTCCAGTACATATTTCTCTTTGAATCAGGTGTGCAGAAAAAATACTTTCAGCTCAAATGATTATTACCGATTGTAACCATACAGGAGTTAATACTGAACAGACAGAGGTTAGTGACACGCTGTCATGAATTTTTCAAAGCTTGGATGGCCTAATCACTGGTTTTCTACTTAGTGTTTACGAGGTAATATGCTATCGCACGAGAATTAAAAGTCTTTAACTCAATCCCATGGAGTTTCAGAGTGTCTACTCCCAAACGATTTCAAAGTATGATCATGCAACTCCTCAGTGGTAAGAGATATCTGGCCATGGTATGGTAAAAACTGTTTTTGAAATGACCCATTTCTTAAAATGTAGCTGCTTAATACAAGGTTAAAAGGACTAAATGATGAAAATTCAAACTTTATTACGTATCAAAACTATGATATGTATGCATCCATACCAACTAAAAAGTTGTCAAGTTACCTGTCTATTGTTAGTATGAACTAATGTACACCTTGGTGAATTCATATAAAACTCACTACCTATGAGTAGTTGAGGTATTAAAACTTCGGTAACCATGAATAAAATCTTTCTTTCTCATACTTTATCAATCAACAAGTGTGTGACTGATAACTATTTCCC